GCAGAGGGAGAAGCAGGCTCCATTCACTGGGAGCCTGACGTGGGATTCGATCCCGGGTCTCCAGGATCACGCCCTGGGCCAAAGGCAGGTGCTAAACCGCTGCGCCACCCAGGGATCCCAAATGGAGACTTAATTTGAGCTAGTTCATAAATGGTATTTTGATATTCTGGCCTTTTCTAATTTGAATCTCTGATCTTGCTTTTCAGAAAAAAATATTATGAAGCTTCATCGAGGTATAATTTACATGCCATAAGATCACTCATTTAAAGTATACAAATGATTATTTGGCAAATTTATAGTCTTATGCAACAATGACCACAATCTAGTTTAGAATATTTCCATCACCCCAAAGAAATTCCTCATGCTCATTTACATCACTCCCAATTCCACCACCAGCCCCATGCAACTACTAATTACTCTTTGTCTCTATAGATTTGCCTCCTCTGAATATTTTATGTAAATGGAATTACATTGGCTGTTTTTAAGATCCTCCCTGCAATTCTGCATTTCTCTCTCCTCTTTTTTTTTGAGAGAGAGAGGGAGTGGGGCAGAGGAAGGGAGAGAATCCTAAGCAGGGGGCCCTGGGTGGCTCAGCAGTTTAGCGCCTGCTTTTGGTCTCCTGCTGGAGACCCAGGATCAAGTCCCACATCGGGTTCCCTGCTAGAGCCTGCTTCTCCCTCTGCCTGTGTCTCTACCTCTCTTTCTGTCTCTCATGAATAAATAAAATCTTAAAAAAAAAAAAAAAAGAATCCTAAGCAGGCTCCACTCCCAGCACAGAGCCTGATGTGGGGCTTGATCCCATGATCCTGAGATCATGAAGGGAGCCGAAATCAAGAGTCAACACCCAACTGACAGAGCCACCCAGGTGCTCCTCTCTTTAGTTCTGAGGTTTTTGTTCCTTGCCCTTGAGCACTTGACACAAGTACTTCCTGTCTCTGTCACCATACTAGAGAAAAGACAGCTATCTTTTCTATTCTCTCTATAGAGAGTACTGCAAAATTACTGTGCTACAAAAATTAAGGATGCCTGGGGGCTCAGTGGTTGAGCATATGCCTTTGGCTCAGGGCGTGATCCTGGGATCTGGGATCGAGTCCCACATCAGGTTCCCTGCATGGAGTCTGCTTCTCCCTCTGCCTATGTCTCTGTGTCTCTCATGAATAAATAAATAAAATCTTAAAAAAATTTAATTAGGGAATGTGGCCAAAATACTATTGGGAAAAAAGTATTACAATGATGTGTATGGGTGGAGTCTGTGCTCCAAAATAGATATTTTCTCTTCCTTTTCCCCATTCCCCCCACCAAACAAACTCTTTTCTTCCTTTTTCTCCTCCCCCAAGCTCTACTGAGGTGTAACTAAAAATAAAAATTGTATATATTTAGAGTACAATGCAATGGGCTGATATATGTATGCACTGTGAATGATTATCACAATCAAGTTAACACATCTATCACCTTGCATGGTTACTTTTATTATTATTTTTTGATGTGGTAAGTATAGTTAAGATCTACTCTCAGCAGACTTCAAGCATACAACAGAGTATTATTAACTATAGTCATCATGCTGTACATTAGATTCCCAGAATTCATTCATTTTATAACTGAAAGTTTGTGCTCCTAGACCAATAGCTTCCCAATTTCCCCATCTCCCAGTTCCTGGTAACCACTGTTCAGATCTCTGATTCTGTGAGGATGACTCTTCTAGATTCCACATACAAGTAAGTTTATATAGTATTTGTTTTTCTCTCTCTGACTTACTTCATTTAGCATAATGTCCTCCAGATTCATCTATAATGTTACAAATGGCAGGATTTCCTTCTTTTTTTAATGCCTGAATAATATTCCATTATATACAATAGCATATACTAGATACATATCATAGAACATGTATAATATACATAATTAAATATCACATTTTATTCATTCATCCCTCCATAGACACTTAGGTTGTTTCCATATCTTGGCTATTAAAAAAAAAGGGAACCCTTACTCCCCATTGATATGACTGTAAATTAGTACAGCCATTATGGAAAATACTATGGAGAATGTTCAATAAATTAAAAATAAAACTTGTACAGCCACTCTGGAAAACTGTATGGAGGTTCCTCAAAGATTTAAAAATAGAGCTACCCTACGACCCAGCAATTGCACTGCTGGGGATTTACCCCAAATATACAAATGCAGTGAAATGCTGGGACACCTGCACCCCAATGTTTATAGCAGCAATGTCCACAATAGCCAAACTGAGTAAGGAGCCTCCGTGTCCATCGAAAGATGAATGGATAAAGAAGGGGTGGCATATATACAATGGAATATTACTCAGCCATTAGAAATGGCAAATACCCACCATTTGCTTCGACACGGATGGAACTGCAGGGTATTATGCTGAGTGAAGTAAGTCAATTGGAGAAGGACAAACATTATATGGTCTCATTCATTTGGGGAATAAAAAATATTGTGAAAGGGAATAAAGGGGAAAGGAGAGAAAATGAGTGAAAATATCAGAGAGGGAGACAGAACATGAGAGACTCCTAACTGGGAAACAAACAAGGGGTGGTGGAAAGGGAGGTGGGGGGGTAGGGGTGACTGGGTGATGGGCACTGAGGGGGGCACTTGACGGGATGAGCACTGAGTGTTATACTATATGTTGGCAAATTGAACTCTAATAAAAAATAAATAAATAAATAAAATAAAACTATGGCCCGCCAGGGTGGCTCAGCCACTCAGGTTGAGTGTCTGCCTTTAGTTCAGGGTGTGATCCTGGAGACCCGGGATCGAGTCCCATGTCGTGCTTCCTGCATGGAGCCTGCTTCCCCCTCTGCCTGTGTCTCTGCCTATGTGTCTTTCATGAATAATAATAATAATAATAATAATAATAATAATAATAAATAAAATATCTAAAAAAATAATAAGGGGATCCCTGGGTGGCTCAGCGGTTTGGCGCCTGCCTTTGGCCCAAGGCACGATCCTGGAGTCCCGGGATCGAGTCCCGTGTCAGGCTCCTGGCATGGAGCCTGCTTCTCCCTCTGCCTGTATCTCTGCCTCTCTCTCTCTCTCTTTCTATGTCTATCATGAATAAATAAAATCTTTTTTTAAAAAATGTATAAAAAATAAAATGAATAAATAAAAATAAAAAATAAAAATATAACTACCATGGGCCCAGGGCACCTGGGTGGCTCAGTGGGTTAAGCATCTGACTCTTGATTTCAGCTCAGATGGTGATCTTGGGGTGGTGAGATTGAGCCCAGCATCTCTCAGTGCAGTCTACTTGAGGTGCTCTCTCTCCCTCTCCCTCTGCTCCTCTACCTGCTTGTACATGCACATGCACATTCTCTCTCTCTAAAATAAAATCTTAAAAAAAATTACCATGGACTCAGCAATCCCACTACTGGGTATATATCTGAAGGAAATGAAATCAGTACCTCAAAAAGATATCTCACTCCCATGTTCATTGCTTTCTTATTCACAATGCCAAGATAAACTCTTTTCTTTGATTTGGAACACTAGGAAAGAACTCAAGTAAATTACCTTCCCATGTGAACTTAAGGTTTCATGTGTCACTATCTGTCCAGGGCACTTGTAGTTTGAAATACACATATAAGTTAACACATATGAAGTAGACTTTATATTTTTTTAAGTCTTTTTTATTTTTTTTAAAGAATTTATTTATTTATTAGAGAGAGAGAGAGAGAGAAGCAGGCTGCATGCAGGGAGCCTGATGTGGGACTTGATCCTGGGTTTCCAGGATCACACCCCAGGAGAAGGCGGCGCTAAACCGCTGCGCCACCGGGGCTGCCCGGAAGTAGACTTTAATGGTGGTAAAGTTTTTCCTATCATAGAAACTTCCATCTTTTTTTCAATAAAGAAAGATATTGATCAGGAGAGGTCTGCCACTTGTTGCATTGTTTGCCAGCTTCGATTCATTAATTTAAACCTCTTGCAGACTTACCAGATTATGACACAGGATGCCCAATTAACTTTGAATTACAGATAAACAATTATAGATAAATAATTTAAGTATATTCCAAATATCTCATTTTTCTTTAGAGTGTGAGCCATGCAACATTTGCTACACACTTAAATTATTTGTTGTTTATCTGAAACTCAGATTTAACTGGGCATCCTGTATCTTATCTAAGAACTCTATTGTAAGTAAGCTATGTGAAAGCTTAGATTAGGTTGCTCTGAAATTTTTTTTTTTAAGAGTTTATGTATTTCTTCATGAGAGACACAGAGACACAGGCAGAGGGGAAGCAGGCTCCATGCAGGGAGCCTGACGTGGGACTCGATCCCGAGACTCCAGGATCACGCCCTGGGCTGAAGGCAGGCGCTCAACGGTTGAGCCACCCAGGGATCCCCCGAAAAATTTTTTTTTAAATTTCTTTTTATAAACAAAAAGTCTCTAAGACAAAACATTACATTTCCTAGTTGCTGGGAAGACTAAGTTCTGGTTCCTTAGCTCTTTCAATTACAAAAACGACTGACAAGAGAAGCCCGTTGTGCTGTGGTAGAGACTGTCCCAAAGAGCAGGGAGTGGGCCACCCTCTAGGGAACCGCAGACCTCGGGCCCCGGGGGTGGAGCCTCGGGGACCAAGTGGACCCTCCGATGGGGGCTCACCGGCCGCGGCAGCCCGAGGCGCACACCTCGGAGCCGACGGAGGGGTGGAGCCTTGGGGACCCGCTTCTCTCGCCCTTCGCCCCTCGATCCTGGAGACTAACTTGCAGACCCCCCCCCCCCGCCTCGCTCCAGGACCCCGACGCTCCCCTCCCCCCCACCACCCCCCCCCCCGCCGGCGGGAACAAGCTGAGTACCCAGAATTAACGGCGGCTGTTGAGGTCAGCAGCTCCCAAGAAGCGACCGCCGGGCCTCGTTCATTCCAGGAGCGCTCGCGCGGCCGCTCGAACTCTACGACGGGGGAGGGCGGTTCGCTGGCGCCCCTCCCCTTTTTTCTTTTTTCGGTCGGAGGAGAGAAAACCGGCGGCGCCCGGGCGCGCCCGCAGAGCCGCGGGCAGCGGGACACACCCTCCGCCCCTCGGCCCGCGCCCCGCCCGGCGGCAGGCGCGGGGCGGGTTGCGCGCTCCGGGGGCGCCGGCCGCCGGCCTCGGGGCGCTGACGATGGCGGGCTGACTGGGGCGGGAGCCCGCGCCGGGGCAGGATGATGCTCCTGAGGGGCGCGTGGACGCGCGGCCGGCGGCTGCCGGCGACCCCCGGACCCCAGGGCCGAGCGCGTCCGGGGCCGCGAACGCCGGTGCCTCAGGTGAGACGGGGCCCGGCCCCGGGCGCTGGGAGGGGGTGGCGGCTGGCGAAGTTTGCGTGGGGCAACTTGGGCGCGAGCGGCGGCGGGCAAGTTGGCCGCGTGTTGGCGGCCCTACGGCTCGGCGCGCGGGAGGACCCCGGCGAGCGGGCGTCCCGGCCGCGGCCGTGGGTCCCCGGGTCTCGTGGCGCAGGCGCGCCCGGGGGCCGAGCGCAGACGACGAGGCCGGGGCGGCGACGAGGAGCATCCCCCCGCCCGGGCGGCGCCCGGGAGCGGCAGGATCTCCCCTGCAGGCAGTTTCCCCGCGGCCAGATGGGCTCAGGAGGAAGTTTTCAGTCACTGCCGTCGGCTCGGTCGCGGGGGGCCAGGAAACGGTGGAGCGAGTGACCGCCCGAGTGTGCGCGGCGGTAGGACAGTGAAATCTCCAGCCTCCCAGCCGTCGCCCCCCCCCCCCTTCTACAGAGGGAAGACGCTCGCGTCGTGTTCTGAGACCCGGTGAATCACGAGCGTGTGTCGCTGAGGAGCGGCTGGCCCGACCCCGCTGTATTGTGGCCTGTGGAGAACCGTTGCTTGGAGGCGAGGGAAGAGGGTGGATGTGCCCTAGAAAAGACCGAGATAGGGGGGAATGCCGCGTGCAGCTCGCATTGGGATGGAGCCTGACAGCCCTGACTGAGCCTCGTGAGGAAAGACCCCCCCATTCCAAAGAGCCTCCCAGGTGCGTGTGGTTGGGGAGCGGGTTTCTGAGTTTTAATTCTCAGCGCCCCGCCCCCCGGCCCCCATTATCTTAGTTTCAGATCGTTAAAGAGAAGAATACGTTTAACTGTGCAGTTTACAAGAAAAACAAAAGAAGCCATGCCGCTATCTTGTCACTTTCACTTCCTGTGGCGTTGTGTCTCCCCCCACCCCCCACTTCGGCTATTTCAGGGCTTCACGGCTTTTTGAGTACGGGAGGAAATAATTTAAATACATATTTAAAACTCCTTTTCCTGCGTGTTTGAAAGAGAACGAGGAAGAGCGTTTTGTTATCAACACCTAGGAAAGGGGGCAAATTCCTTAAAACGGGCAGATTTAGCAGTAGATTGGAGAGAGGGGTTTCCACCCTGTGAAATTGTACTTTATTAAAAAGAATTGCACTTCACAGCCAAAAACGTACCAACCTGTGAAACAGCGCAACACAAGGAACCCCCTTCACTATACCACCATTTAAACATAGTGATTCAGTTTTCTATTAAGTCCTTGTAACATCCGGAGTAGAATTTTTGCAGAGTTCAAGGCTGGCTGCCCTTTCTCCAGTTATCATCTCTAAGCCCCTTTCTCCGTATTTCCCACCTGATGCTACTGCATGCCCCAGCAGGAATGTGGATGCCCTTAAAAAAAAGAAAATGATACAGTGGGGCTTATTAGGCTTAATCATAGGGCAACTGTGGTCAGTACTTTGCCTCTAGGTAATCGTCTTAAACCTCACATTTGCTTGTTCCTAATTTGCAGATATTTAAGTCTTGACAGTCCATGCTATTAAATCAATTTACTGAACTTTAGAAGTGCAAATGCTTCCATCATTTTACTTGATAAAAGACCCCTGAAAGAAGAAAGACAAGCCTGTGAGTTTGCTTTATATGCCTCTTTGAATTATACCATAAAGAAACTGACAAATATCCTGGCCACTTAGGAGTTTTAGCTGGGACAACTAAACCATTTTCTGTAAATCAAATTAATTGGCCATAGGGACATTTTTTTATTCTAAGGTTCACTGTTTTGTGGTTGTCCCATTTGCTATGAAGAGTCCTGTGACTATTTTATATACTTTTGCCACATTCAGATCCCTAGCGTCTGTGAACACAACAGGAGGAAAAACCAACAAAAGTGATATTTGCATCCCCACAGCTCATAAAATCTTAGCTTGCAAGGACTTGTCATTAATAGTATCTCAAGTAAGTGTTCCCATACTTTTCTGAAAGTATGAGTGTGCTTTATAGGAGGATTTAGTAATTTTGGAAAATACACAATTCTTATCCTTCACATGGTAGGTAATACTCGGCTAGTATTTTGTGGGTGGAAAAAAGTTTGTCAACATGGATACGTTTAGCATACCAGAATTGTTCTTGAAAGAACACATTTAATCTGAAGCATAAGAGAGCAAGAGCATGTTGTGTTCCCTTTAGGCAAGGCATGCCCAGGCGTTTGTGGTCACGTTCCCTTGTCAGCATCTCTGCTTCTCAGCAGCACTCTGGCTGAGTGGTTGTCAGGGTGATCCATGGCTCCTGCTGGCCTTTCTGTTCTGCAGGACACAGCTTGCAGTGATTATGGCACCTAGTGAATTATCTCTCAACTGAAAGCCCTTAGTTGTACCTTTCTTTTTTTTTTAAATTTATTTATTTATGATAGTCACACAGAGAAAGAGAGAGAGGCAGAGAGAGAAGCAGGCTCCATGCACCGGCAGCCCGACGTGGGATTCGATCCCGGGTCTCCAGGATCGCGCCCTGGGCCAAAGGCAGGCGCCAAACCGCTGCGCCACCCAGGGATCCCTGGTTGTACCTTTTTAAATTTGAGTTTTCTGCTGCTTGATTTGAGAAACTCCCCGGTAAGATTTCAAGCCCCCAGTAAGTACAGTAGTTGAGTCCCTACGTAAGCTGTGTTTAAAATTTAGGAAAAAAAAAAAAAAAAAAGAAATTGTACTTGGCAGAGAAGTTGGGGTATGCTTTTTTTTTTTTAACACCTGAAAACAAAGCAATACATGTTTTCATTCCACCACCAAATGTTAATTTAGAAATTGTTTTTTACCTTTTGAATTTAGGTCATTCCCATTTGACACTTTCCTCCCATTCTCCCTCTTGTGTTTGTAGTTAGTGCAATGTATTATGTGATACTGGTTTCAGAGCTCTCTCCTCAGGAGAACATTTGCTTGTAGATTGCAGATGCTGCTTAAGCTGTAGAAGACATTGGGGCAAAGTAACTCTAGACCAGTTTGTTAAATATTAAACATTACCATCTTTCTACCACTTAGGTATTAGTGCTTACTTTTGTTTTTGTTTTTGTTTTTTGTTTTTAGGTTGTGCTCTTCACTGCGGTTTAATGATATTAGTGCTGTTTTGGCATACTCTAAGCTAGAAAATAATTTTGTATCTTGGCAGATAAATACTTGTTGAATAAGGTCCCTGTGAAACTAAGGTGGAAAACCTGAGGCAAATACCAGTTGATCAAACAGGAAAACCTGAGGCAAATACCAGTTGATCGAACAGCCATATAAACTAAATGTGTTTAGGTCATAGAATAGAAATGAGCAGCTAATTTCATTGGTGTTAGGCGATTGGGACATCTGAGTGCCCACCTCGTCTTGCCACCCCATAGCTCCCTGAACTTAGACAAGTTATTTTGTCTATTTGGGCCTGTTGTAGTCCCTTTTCAAAACAAGGAGACTTGTCTAATTGGTTACCAAAGTTCTTTCCATCTTTAAAATGGCCATTTGGTAATTTTACCAGGGGGTGTAAGTATAGTATTGAGTAAAATATTGTCACAGTCAGAATGGTTGTTTTAATGGTTGAATGAGCCTCTTTTATGGTTTTAGGCAGTCAGTAGAGTGACAGTTCTACCTAGTGATTGTAATAACTGTTTTCCCTTTGAAAAGGAATTGAAATTTATTTGATTGGGTAAGCGTGTCAGAATAGATTGTCTCGCTCTGATACTTCATTCTGTCATTACCAGTGTTTTCATCTGTGAAATGATGCTTATTCAAGAGTATCTAGCATTAGAACCCTAAAGCCATTATGATAGGCATCTTGAGCTAACATATAGGCTATAAACTAATAGATAATAAAGTGTTTTCTCAGCCATATTCTAGAAGTATCTTCTTTTTAAAAAAAATATCATTTAATTTACCACAGTATTTTCCTGTTTGGTTTTTTAAAGATTTATTTACTCATGAGAGACAGAGAGCAGAGACATAGGCAGAGGGAGAAAGAAGCAGGCTTCCTGCAGGGAGCCTGATGCGGAACTCAATCCCAGGACCCTGGGATCAGGACCTGAGCTGAAGGCAGACACTCCTCCTGGGTTGTTTTTTTTTTTTTTTTTAAAAAAAAAAAACAGGCTCTCTGAGGTGTATGTTCAGACTGCAAGGGATCCCTCACCCAAGTGTTTTTTACTGAATTTTCCACATTAGCATACCTTTAAATAACCCTATGAAACATGGTAGTCAGTTAAAGGGTGCCCTTTAAGAGGACCCACAGAAGAAATTGCTGTCTAGTCTTAGTATTAGAGTCATTGGTTGCTCCTGCCCAGATGCAGGGTTTACTGTACGGGCAGTGAATGAAATGAGTGTGTAGCCTCACCTCCCTGTGTCCTGGCTGCCAGAAAGCCGAGGTTCAGATTCTCAATCCCCCTTCTAGCAAATTTGAAATGATAAGCATTTACGTATTTACCATACTCATGGATTCATGGCCTCCACCTTAATTTTTCCTCCATTCACATCCTCACCCATTTTCCTGAAATTGTCTCTTAATGGGAAAATGTGATGCATAAACAAGGTTTTAAGAAATGTTAAAAAATCAACTCTTGGTGTTTCAACAAATTGTGGAAGTGTGGCAAACCAGTGTCGTCTTTACAAAGTCTCCTAGGTGCTTTGCCCATAGGAAGTGTTCAATAAATATTGATTGTATTGAATTGAGTTGCGTAAGAATCTAATTTTGATGCCGTGGCTCTCTTGCTCTTTTTAATTGAGATTTAATTGGCATGTATGAGTCTTTCTTAAATAGGGTGCTGAAGTTGTCGACTCTCCACCTTTTTTTCCTTCTCACTACCCTCACCTGTCCTAAGTCTTACTTCCTTGCTACCTCCCCTGTCTCCACCTGACTTAAAATACAGTTTGGGTCAACTATCAAGGCTTATAAATCTTTGTTGTGAGAGTTTCCTCTTTCATTAACTCATAAATAGTATAACTTGATTGTGCCTGATTTTTACCTTAGATTCAGGTTCATTATAAAGGGAATAGAGAATATTGCAGTCCAGGC